AATTTATGCAAATCACATACCCAAGCACCACAGCCAATGCCATTTATANCGACTAGCCAAACCGAATTCGCTGCATCCTGATTTGCAAAAAAATAATGTTAGAAAAGAAACACCAAATTTATGCAAATCACATACCCAAGCACCACAGCCAATGCCGTTTATGGAAATGGCAATGAAGATGAAAATCACATTTCCGTAGTGAGCAAAGCCAAAAGTGGTCAGTGAGATGAACAGGGTGAAGACGACCAAACTCAGCTGACGATTTACCCTGATGATCAATGCAAATCAATATAATCACCAGTTAATCAGCCAACAGATCAACAGCACAAAAAGATAGAGAAAAATTACCATTTGTAGAGGTATCCAGCGAGAGCACCTGCAGTGTATCCAATATTATTGGCAACCACCATTGTGCTGACGGTATTAAGGGCGACATCGTAGATAAAGGCAATGTCCACTAGTGTTGCACCTGGTGATGATAATGGTAATGATAATGATGAGGAAAAGGAAATACAATTTACATCTGCTCTAAATGCTTTTAATTATCTTCAAATGATAATTTCTTACCTACAATATTCACTGAGACGCCAAAGGCAAAGTGATTGAAGAAGATGATCAGAGTGTAGAAGAGGTAGATCTTATTCAGTCGCTTGAAGGCTTTACCGAAGCGGTCGAACAGTGACGCCGACCTGCTCAGAGACTTGCTGTGATAGCCTGGATGACGGTCTTTGTCGTTGCCGTTGCTGTTNTTACCGAAGCGGTCGAACAGTGACGCCGACCTGCTCAGAGACTTGCTGTGGTAGCCCGGATGACGGTCTTTGTCGTTGCCGTTGCTGTCNATATTCACTGAGACGCCAAAGGCAAAGTGATTGAAGAAGATGATCAGAGTGTAGAAGAGGTAGATCTTATTCAGTCGCTTGAAGGCTTTACCGAAGCGGTCGAACAGTGACGCCGACCTGCTCAGAGACTTGCTGTGATAGCCTGGATGACGGTCTTTGTCGTTGCCGTTGCTGTTGCTGCTTGTGTAGCTCAAGCCTTGGTTCAACTTGAAGGAGTCCTTCATTCTTTGCCTTCGACTGACGCAAGACACTGACTAGCCGATTAACACAGACGGAGGTGGGGCAGTGGGGAAGGAGGAAGAGGGGTGGGAAGACACGGGAAGAGAATCGTGACCGGCAGTAAATCTTCTCACGACCACTGAAGCGGAGGAAACCTAGGTTCTTTTTTTCAGATTTCACCTTGCACAGTTCGCCCATCGAACAGGTGATGAACGGCGGGCAGGACCAGAGAAAACAGCAACTGGTGAAATTGCACACCCAAAAACAGACGCACACGCAATGGTACACTACAGCGAGTGGAATTGGGATATTTCGAATATTTACTAGTGATGATGATGATGATGATGATGACGGTTTGTGCTTGTTAAGTGAGTGAGTGAAAAAAGTGCCACTGCAACACTTGCTGGCGGCCCTTTTGCTGGTAACGGTGCTTTTTATATAAAGTGATTATTGAGACACCTCTCTTTGGTAGTGGGGGTGGAGAAGATTTGTACCGTTTGAATGTGTATCTTTGTACCAGAGGTTTAAGAGAAAGAAAGAGGAGATGGAGGAGAGGGAGGAAGTATGCACCAGTTGACAGTTGACACTGTCAGCTGTGGGACTATGCTCCTGAGGATCGTCTGCAGTGCACTGCGTTTCACCAGTCCAAAGTTGTCGTTGGTAATCGCTGTACTGCCAGTCAATGCTGATGCTGTTCCCCAGCTGTACTGGCTGCTGTCTGCTCCCTCAGCAGCCAGTTAAAGGCGTGTGCGAGAGAGCACTGCCCACTGATGCACACCTTCTGATTCACACTCGCTCACTCACCTGAGTAAGTGTAATCCATTCCATTCCACATTTCACTAGCATCCACTGAATGCCATTCACTGCCACTTTGTGTGTTTGTTAGACAAAACATTTTTTCTTGCCCCGGACTAATAGTCCTAATGGGTCTTAATGACAGTCAGTGGCTGCATAGTAACAAACAAATGGCCGGCGACTACTGAGTGTTTGTTTTAAAATAAAACTGGGCGGAGATGCTGCTTCTCTTACCACTGCAAGCTTTTTCAGCAAATTTTTGCTCTTTTTGTTTACTGTTTTGAATATCCAAGCCGAGGGTTAGTGATTCTTTTGCACTTCTGAGTAGGATAGAGTGCGGCTACTACTTCCAGTTATTATACTCTTAATTTGCATATTGATAGAAAACAAAAAAGGAGAAGGGAAGGGGGCCTCAACCATCCAATCATCATCACTACTACCACTTTGACTAATAACAATAATTTCATCATCTTTTTGCTAAAATAGTGCCCCTTTTTGTTTGTACATGCAGTACAGTTTTACGTAAGCACTAGCACTAGCACCAAAACACACTATCACCTACGTCATTTTCATCAAGAGCCGATGGGAGCAAAGGCGATAAAGATGAAGAAGAAGAAGAAGAAGAAAAAGAGAAGAGAGAAAAAGTAAAAGGTTGAACCATAGCTGCTGGCTGTAGGATTAACTACTGTTGTTGTTGAACCACGTTTAGGCAAAGGAAACTAAACGCCCGGTCACACAAACATTTTTTCACTCTATCTTTTACACACACATGGCACGAGTTGTTGGTGGATAAAATGGTATGCGGATTAGGAGGAAAGAAAGGAGAGAGAAGGGTAGCCATCAACTACCTAACACCTGTCACTGACTGTGAATGTGCGTTTGACAAATAATACCAAAATCGGTTAATCGGCAGTGGTACTCTGCCGTTTATGAGGTGATTAGTGAAAAGGTTAAGAAAATAAATGAGGCGCATTGTTCTGGCGAGGTGCAGAAGTCATCTCTCTTTCTCTTTCCGTTTCTTTCTTTTATGGCGACACCATATATCACACATTTGCACACACTTCACCAGCGTAAAGTACTTTGTCCGCATGAATAGACGGGGCAGCAAAAAGGAGAAAGATCACTTTGGTGCAATATAACACACATTGTTTGTTTGCACCATTTTGCACCCAAGGCACAGCTGAAGCAGCACAGAGGTTGATTGTTTACGCGATTGTTTGCTCTTAACCACAAAAAGTGGACACTGAGTATTATTATTGTGTGTGTTATGGTTGTATGCATAATCCTCTCTGTCTGGATCTGATCAAGTAGGAACGGATTTAGAATGCAGCGTAGAATCAGTCAAGGTTAGTTCGTTTGTGCCTACCAAAGAGAGAATGCTTTGGTAGCAATGCAGAATGTCTGTCCCTTTCGGTCACATTACCTCAAATCACAAAACTGCTGTTTACGGTCTGGTGCTGTGGTTGGGTTTTTATGATAACTCGTTTTGATAAACACTCTTTGTGGAAGTTTTTTATACAGNCTCTTTCTCTTTCCGTTTCTTTCTTTTATGGCGACACCATATATCACACACTTGCACACACTTTACCAGCGTAAAGTACTTTGTCCGCATGAATGGACGGGGCAGCAAAAGGGAGAAAGATCACTTTGGTGCAATATAACACACATTGTTTGTTTGCACCATTTTGCACCCAAGGCACAGCTGAAGCAGAACAGAGGCTGATTGTTTACGCGATTGTTTGTTCGCTTTACCACAAAGAGTGGACACTGTGCATTATTATTGTGTGTGTTATGGTTGTATGCATAATCCTCTCTGTCTGGATCTGATCAAGTAGGAACGGATTTAGAATGGCAGCGTAGAATCAGTCAAGGTTAGTTCGTTTGTGCCTACCAAAGAGAGAATGCTTTGGTAGCAATGCAGAATGTGTGCCCCTTTCGGTCACATTACCTCAAATCACAAAACTGCTGTTTACTGTCTGGTGCTGCGGTTGGGTTTTTATCATAACTCGTTTTGATAAACACTCGTTGTGGAAGTTTTTTTATACAGCAATTTACTCTTTAAACTGAAAAAATGATTGAAAATATAAAAAGAGCTTTGGAGAAGAGCAGAAAAACCCCATTAGATATTATAAACCTGCAACACATTTTTAAATGATTGTTTTAAAATTAAACAAATTTTTCATTGTCAATTTTTAGTGCAGTTGGGCAATTGATGCTTTTTTGTCAATTTAAAATATTTTTTTAAAATCCTACATTGAAACAAATGCGGCACCTGTTGATGCAAAAACTAAGTGAGCAAAAGTGGTATTTGTCTAACTTTTTGTTATCATCAAGGTTACAGCGACAAAATCCAATCACAAATCTGCCTCTGATGGGTAGTTTGCAGATAAGATTGCAGATAAGAAAGAAAAAACCAAAAACTTAGCTTTTGCCACCACCAGCACACAACATATTTACAGTGTTCTCCCTGCCTTTCATAAAACGCAAAAATCAAAGTCTACTTTTTATATTTGTTGCACTTGATAAAGCCACACTAAACTATTGGCACAGTTTGAGACAGTTTGCCAAGTAATTACTGAACATGAACAAAGTAGATGAACATGAACAGAACTTAGTTGTACTTAAATTGTACCGTTTATACTGTGTGGTGTTCAGCGACTCTGACGGTACTCGAAAACAGCGGTGAGCTTTCCCCTAAGGCGAAGCCTACTGCTGCTGCAGTTGGCACCCGAGCAGACGACACAATCTCTTCCTCTCACTTACACTGTGTTAGCCTTGTCAATGTTTGTTGTGAGAGAGAGTGGCCTGCATTNAAGCCTGCTGTTGCTGCAGTTGCTGGCACCCGAGCAGACGACACAATCTTTCTCTCTCTTACACTGTGTTAGCCTTGTCGATGTTTGTTGTGAGAGAGAGTGGCCTGCATCGTGCATAGCTGTTCTGTATGGAAGCAAAGTACGCCTGTACTACAGTACACTGTGTCACAGCTAGTATACGGTACTTTGTAGAGCGGCGGTGAAAGATATAAACACTTGGCAGATGGCTTGAGTGGCTTCAACAAGGAGGTAAAGAAACAAGACCTGAAATAAGACGGGATCAGTTTTACAAACCAAGATTTTCTAACTTTAAAAAATACTCAACTGAACCAGAATGGCTGCTCTAAGACGAGGTACGTACCACGGTTTCAATTTAGCTGAACTATTTTTAAAGCATTTTTTCATCAACTCAAACAGGTGTTTTCATCGTCGGCGCGAAGCGCACCCCCTTCGGCACAGTGGGCGGCAAGCTGAAGGACATCAACAGTATTGAGCTGGGGCAGACTGCGGCGAAGGCGGCGATAGAGGCGGCGAAGATCAGTCCCGAGCAGATTGACAGCGTCGTCGTGGGCAATGTGATGCAGCACACGCACAAGAATGGCACCTTCATCGCCCGGCACGTCGGCCTGGGCGCCGGCATTCGCCTGGAGACGCCCTGTCTCAGCGTCAATCGCCTCTGTGGCAGTGGCTTTGAGGCAGTGGTCAATGCTTCACATGTGAGAATTGCGATTTTTTCTTCATCAAAACAAAAGCAGAATTTTGACAACAAACCGCTCTTTGTTTTGTTTTCAGGATATCGTCAACGAGAGCGCCGAAATAGCCCTCGCCGTGGGCACCGAGTCGATGAGCAATGCGCCCTTCATCATTCGCGGCGCTCGTTTCGGCGTCAAGTTCGGCCAGGCGCCGGTCCTGGAGGACTCGATGTTCACCCGGGCGGACCCGGCGGACGGCCGCTACGAGACGCGAATGGGCATCACCGCGGAGAACCTCGCCACCAAGTACGGCATCAGCCGCGAGGAGTGCGACACCTTTGCGCTGCTCTCACAGACTCGCTGGGCGGAGGCGCAGAAGGGTGGGAAATTTAAGGAGGAAATGATCCCGCTGACGATTAAGGTAAAGGGAAAGGAGGTGGTAGTGGACGTGGATGAGCACCCTCGGCCGGACACTTCGCTGGAGAAGTTGTCCAAGCTGGCGCCCGCCTTCAAGAAGGACGGCGTCGTGACGGCCGGAAATGCATCGGGCATCAACGACGGCGCCGGGGCGTTAGTGCTGGCCAGTGAAGATGCAGTCAAGGCCAAGGGGCTGGGGGCGTTGTCTCGAGTGGTCGCCTACGCCGTCGTCGGCTGTGATCCCACCATTATGGGTACGATAAGGAAATCAACTGTTCTCTTTTCAATCACAAATCTAACTTCTTTTTTCTTCACCAGGCATCGGCCCAGTGCCGGCGATTCGCAAGCTATTGGCCAAAACCGGCCTCACCCTGGACCAGGTGGACGCCGTCGAGGTGAATGAGGCCTTTGCGCCGCAGTGGCTGGCCGTGCAGAAGGAGCTCGGCCTTGATCTGGCCAAGTCGAACTTGAATGGCGGCGCTATCGCCCTCGGTCATCGTAAGTGCCTCACGCTGATTTCACTCTCATATCAGCAGCTTTGTTGCTTTGAGCTTAACCATTTATTTGTGCTTCTCTTTCTTCTTATCACTTCTTCGTGTAGCTCTGGGCGCATCAGGAGCACGCATACTGACCAATCTGACGTACGAGCTGAAGCGAAGGAATGGAAAATACGCCATTGGTAGTGCCTGCATTGGCGGCGGACAGGGCATTGCCGTTCTTCTAGAGAATGTTCAGTAGGATGTTTGTTAAAGTTTTTTTGGTGTTACATTTTTCTTGTAAAAAACAAATTGTTAATAAAAACACTTGCAAGTTTTCCCCAGAGACATTTTGGGTAGCAGTTGTAACCCCAGTAAGCTTGTCATATCACATGTGTTTGCTGAGTCTGATTCTCATCATCGTGACAACAGCTGCCAGACTTTGCTTTTTTCTGCCCCTTCTCAATCTCCATTGGGGCCGTTGCCCTCAATGTCAGACGATAATGTCAGAAGGAAGGATTGCTGCTGAAAAGTTAGTAGATCGGTGCAAAAACGGGACAGTTCACTGTCAACATATAAAACTGACCACCGATCAGCTGCTTCTGCTAGGCTGTTGTTTTACTGTGGTCACTAGTGACACCACAGGGCACAAACAGTGAGCACAAACAGACAGAGAGAAAGAAAGAGTGAGAGTGAGAAAGCAACAGCTGAGAGTTCTTCCAGAACGTTCTGTCCTAGTCTAGGCCTGAGAAGGGAGCAAGTAAAAAGTGGATGAGCAGAAGACAGCAACAACAACAACCCGACAAATATCACCGACATGAGCTTCAGTTTTCAACTTCATAAACTTGACCACAATCACCACAGAATGATTCACTTCATCTGTACGGCGATTCTCCTCATCAACTTTGGTAACCCTTTTTCATCTCTTTATTCTGCCCACTTGACTCATTCTATTTTTCATCTCAGTCAACTGCATTCACGTCACCTACCCGGGAATCGGCACCTTTCACGTGGGCGAGTTCTACGACTTTTTCAACCGGCCCTTCATCGACCTGCAGCTGCCCGACCCGCCTGAGGCGCAGGACGTCAACTTCTACCTCTACACGCGGCTCAATCCCTTCCACAATGTCTCCCTGCGGTGGAACAACAGCGAGGACATCATCAACTCGGATTACCTCAACGACAGCCTCCCCATCAAGATGCTCATCCACGGGTACATCAACTCGGAGAATGAAGCCGTCCAGGATGAGGAGTCGTGGATGGTGCCGCTGAAGGACGCCATGCTCCGCCACGCCGACCTCAACGTCATTCTCGTTTACTGGCGCAATCGCTTTCCCTACGAGCGCTCCTCCGTCAACACCCGGGTCGTTGGGCCGATGGTGGCCGTGCAGATTCAGGCCATCATCGCCCACAGCAACGCTACAATGGACAGCTTCCACCTGGTCGGCCACTCGCTGGGGGCGCACATTTCGGGTAAGGGGAGCAGGGTTTTAACCAAAAAGAGACCTTGTTGTTTACATTTAATTCCTGCAGGCTACGCAGGCAAGTTCCTCGGCAACGGCCGCCTCGGCATGATCACCGGCCTCGACGTGGCGCGGATTCACTTTGAGAACATCGACACTCGCGGCCGCCTGTGGCACACTGACGCCAAGTTTGTTGAGGCGATCCACACTGACGCTAGCATCACCGGCTTTGGGATGATCGCGCCCTGCGGTCACGTCGACATCTACCCGAACTCCGGCAGTGGACAGCCCGGCTGTGAGGCTCTATCCAGTTTCTCCTCATTGGTGACTACGGTGAGCAAGTTTGTCACGCGATGGTAAGTGGCGAGCTAATGAGTTGGTAAAGATTTTTACCTGATACTGTACTCGATTTAAAACTGCCCGCAGCGTTCGCTGCGACCACCACCGCGCCAATGACTACTACATTGAGGCCTGGGAGAAGGCCCACTACCCGGAGATGATCACCGCCGTCGCCTGCACCAGCTACGCCGACTACGCGGAGAAGCAGTGCATGTCCTGCGGAATACGCGGCGAGAAGTGCATCACCCTCGGACCGGCCTCCATCGACTACACCTCCACTGTGGCGAAGCCCATTGAGCCGCTGAAGCAGTTCTTCATTACCACTGCCAGCAAGAAGCCCTACTTCCGACAGCCCTGTCTGTCGACGCTCAAGAAGATTTCACGAGGATGAGAACTGAACATGGAAACTGTATGTAAAACTGATATATTTCTTTTTTGAGTAATGTAAAATACCACGTGATAAATAAAAGTAATTTAAACAATATAAATAGTAAGTTAACAAAGAAAAATTTTCAAAAACGAGCAAGGCAAGGTCAAATAATTTCTCAAACAGAATAAATTTTTGTAATGTAAAAGTACATTATTAATAAGTAAAACATTAATGGCAAGTTGAATGTTTTAGCAATAAAATGCTAATTGCGCATCACACAGTTTTACCTTGAAAACATTGAAAACTGATGTGTAGTGCTATTTTTTTTGTAAAAACTGGCAAGTTTTTTTTATAAATACCCTTTTACAATTTTTGACAATTTATTATTTTTTAACAAAAATTAACAAAAATGAAGAGAGTTTGCGTTGCTTTGATTGTTGTTTTGACAACTGTTTTTGTTGCTGGACAAGACCCTGCTGGGAAAAATATATTAGATCAATTTCAAACTGTAGTAAGTACTAGTATTCTTAAAAAAGTACAAGAAGAAAAAGGTTTTAGATAT